AGAGAGAGAGAGAGAGAGAGAGAGAGAGAGAGTCACGCTACACAGCTCAGACATGTAGTGGTCCTCCTATCTCATTTGCCCCAGTGTTGTGATTACAGACATGCACCACCATGCCTGGTTTCGGTGGCCAACTTGATGTGGGGCCAGCTTGGCATGTGGTACCAGGCATCAAACCCGCGTCCTTGTGCTTGCCAGGCAGGCACTTAGACTGTTGAGCTATCTCTCTGGCCATATGCAATATTAATAGATGTCTTTTTAAATGTATTTTTTCCTCTGACTAAAGACATCAAAGCCTAGATTGGCCATGAATCCAACCAAGACCATGTAATATGTCCATGTGCTTTATGTATTCCAGTGACTTACAAAAGGATCAAACACTGTGTTAAAAGTATTTTTTTTTCTTTTTTCTTTTAAAGAGAATGAAAAATGAAAAAACATTGAAAAGGACACAGAATTTCAAAATAAGATAATAGGAAATCAACAATGGTGGTTATATTACGTATTGTTATCTTCAAAGTAGTTGCTCACATTACAGATACAGGCATGTAAGATTGATCAAAAATAAAATTAAGCATTAACTGTTCCTTTCAATAAACCAGTAGAAATTAGTAGCACAATTATTGAAAGTATTTTATTAAAATAGTAACAAAAATTATTTCTTATCTGGAATGGATAGAATTATAAGAATCAAAAGCAGTTAATACTATTGTATAGGAAGGTTCTTTTTTTAACTTTTATTTTATAAAAAAACAAAATTTTATAACAAAGACATCAAGCAAGAAGATTCTAAAGTAGAGAAAGGTTATAACACAAAACTTTCTTTTCAACAAACTAAGATTAAACAGTACAAGTGAAACAAATGAGTATGTATAGTAGAATATTTTTGAAGCAACAAAATATGTAATTTGGGGGAGTATTTCAACTTATCCCTATATCCTGTTTATCTCTCTTTTATTTTGCTCTTGTGTACATACATGTATAATTTGTTTTTTCCATATTAGAGAAACCATGAGATTCTTGAACTTATATCTGACTTATTTCAATCACCATCGTGTTCTCTACTGCACGCATTTATCTATAAGGCCTCGAGTTTATCTTTATGGGAGTGTAGAGCTCCATTGTGAATCAATGTCACCTTTTCCTTATCTGTTCATCTGTTGATGGACATATATGTTGTTTCTGAGATATAGCTGTTATAAATTACGCTGCTGTAAACATGGGTATGCATGTAAGCCCATAATATGAGGATTTTATTTTTCTTTATTTTCTAAAGAGAGTGCAAATTAAAATTAAAACAAAAAATTACAAATGATACAGAATTTCACTTCACAAAGTAATATGAATTTCATAGTATTTGCTGTAATACATAGTGTTTTCTTCCAACCAGTTATTCATATTACCAGATATATGCATGTAAAATTGGAAGAAGAAAGGAAAAAAAAGGAAAACATTAAGAAAAAAAGTACAAACAATTGAAAAAAAGAAACAAAACAAATTAAAGCACTAATGCTGCTTTCCTAGGAGGATTTTAAATCTTGTGGGAAGATACCCGGAAGGGGCATAGCTCTTGTAAAGTTCTTACGAGAATATGGTACAACTGAAGGAATGTCTGATTTCTGATTTGTCTATTTTGTACTTCTTCCTCAAAGATGATCTTCATGCTTGATTCAGAGAGGAAAATGGAGCGCGCTCTCTTAGCTCACACTGTGGGGGGACACACACTGCAGAACCTGCTGCCTTGCATTTAGGTCTTGCTTTTTGCTGTTGTTCCTGTGCACTGATGTGTCCTGTGTGCCCCTGACAAGACTTCAGCTTCTGCCCTTGCGGCAGCTCTGCAACGTTAGCTGCTGGAGGGGTTTGCTGGGGTGCGGATGGTGCAGCTCCTGGGTAAACAGACAGCCACCCTGTGTATGTGGCTCACAAATGTTCTGGGGGACTGACCTGTTGCGGTTGACTCCCCACCCAGAGGAGGGGCAGGACAGTCAGGACATAGTTTTTAAAGCCACAAGTGACTTAAATCAAACCAGCAGCATTGTCTGCAAAGCCCAGGCAGGTGGCCCACAAAGAGCAGGAGAGAAGAATTGTATGTTCATTTACAGTCGGCTCATTAACACTTGTTGAATTCATTAAAATAGCACTTACAATTAAAATTCCAGGTTCCTAGCACACTTTCATTAACTCAAGTTTAGTAGACTTTATAACTGATTTTTATGTACACAATTAACTTAAATACACTATTTTTTTTGCTGCTATTCATAATGGATACATCAAGGACCACCCTGTAAGTATAAATCTTCCTCCATCAGTACCATTTTTATACAAGTCATGCGAACAAAGAGACTTGAGATCCAAATGGAGAGCTGAGGAACTCAGCTCCTGAGCTCATTGGCTTTTGTGCATCTTGTCGATTGTTCCTTTGTAAGCTTTAGAATGAATGAAATCTTTGTCCTTCTGTTTTTGTTAAACGCAGGAAAGTCCAAGAAAGGTAGGACAAGTTCCTTGTGTGATGTTTTTGTTTCTGGCAAATCCTGAAAGGTCATTGTCACGTCATCTTTAAGAAATGATCAGATTTTAAGCTCTACAATGGTAGATTTTAGTCTAGTGATTACTCCTTATCATAATAGAGAAAATATCATTGCACATTTGCAAGACATCCGATGCTGGGGCAGCTGTCTTTCTGTCACAGGCAACTGTGTGACTTCCTTTGCTTTGGCGTTTTATCACAAGGTCAAAACCTGCAGGAAACCAGTGCTCCGGAAGCACTTCTCTGTAAGGCTTGGGCTCTCTACAGGGGAAGAGTGGGTATCATGATGTATGTAGGCCAGGTGTAAAATATGCTCTTCCTTTAAAGAGGCCAGATATCAAAAATGAGGCAGGTTACAGTGGGAAGACGAAAGGACTGAAGTGGCTCCTACTTATCCTTTCCTTTGAAGCCTGTTTTGTAAGAACCACTTAGTGGAGAGTGAAGCAGGGTTTAAATGACTGGCTTGCATAGTAAGATGGTCAGGACGCAAGCTAGATAGTAAGACAGCATGCCGGGAGATTCATTTGTTGGATGGTGCTTCAAGTAATTACGTGGCATTCTTTAAACTTTAGCTCTTAAAAACTACTTAGCATTATCTGCTTGGAAAAAGAGAATTGTTTTATACATGTAATCTTGTCTATATTTTTGCTACTTTCTGGTTGATGTACATGTGTAAAAGAATTTTTTCCTTGTAACAGATCTTTATGACTAACTATGCATGTACCATGAAGTTGTTTTCTTTTTCTTAACTTCTTGAGTTTTTCTCTGTGAACTTAGATTTAATCTAAAACTATAAACCTTATTCTGTATTAATCTGGTACTGTTACTAACACTCTAAAGACTGCATGTTGGAAGGGTTATATATTTTTATTGTCCCTTTGTCATCCTTTTTGACCTTGTACCTTTTTCCCTTTCTCCATCATTCTCTTCTTTCATCCCTGACTTGTCCTGTACCTTCTTCCTCGGGCTGTGGACTATCATTAGGAAGAATGAATTCCTCAGCAGGTGAGCTACAATAGGAAAGCTGGTTAATTTTATCCCCTTAAACCTGGGCTATAACTTAAAACCATTTCATTTTCTATATTAAAGTCCAGATAACCATATAAAAGTATGTAGCATTCACTTGTAGCACATTGACAAGATTCCACATATTTCACAATGGCTAATTCACAGAGGGCTTTGCTGGTCCAATTAGCCAGAATAAAATGAAGGTCCCTTGAGCATGCAGTCTGTAGACTTTCAGGCAAGAGAGAGCTGAGTTGAATTTGTTTCTTAATGTAGAATATGAGGTGATCCTAGGTGTCCTTCCTAGACTCCGTTTCTTACTTTCCCTCAGTCTCCTATGTATCTGTGGTGTTTCCTCTGTTGAAAATAGAGGAACCTAGAACCTGAATCCGTGAACCAGCTCTTCAGACACACAGATGCAGTGCAGGGTCACAGGAGCGAGGCCCTTACCCTTGTTAAGAACAACAAGGTAACTTGTGTTTTTGAAAATATGTTTATAGGGAGGAGGCCAAGCCAAGTGACAGATGGGTCCGGTATAGCCATAAAAATGATGTCAGTTGGCAGAAGTTTTTAGCTCTGTAAGGGGATCATTTCTGCTCACTTTGGATTTGTGGAAAATGAAAGCCCTGCAACCAGTGTATAATCCTGTAATCCCAGCACTCTGGAAGTATTTCAGTAGGATCGAAAGTTCGAGCCCAGACTGGACAATTTAGCAATTTAGTGAGACACTGTCTCAAAATAAAACATAAAAAGGGCTGGAAATATAGCTCAGTGCAAAGGCCCTGGGTTTAATCCCTAGTGCCTCCCTCCCCTCCCATACACACATGCATGCACTGGGAAAGGCCTGCATTGGGAAAGTCAGCACCTCAGCCACAGGCTTTGCCCCGGAGGATGTGTATCGTGTTGAGGCTGGAGGTTCAGACAGTCAGACATCACCAGATGGGTGAGCTGGTCTAGGGGTTGCTCTTAGCAGTCCTCACGCAGAGCCTGGTGTAGCATGGGTGGCACTGTGCACCATCTGAAAATGCTGCATCAGTGTAGTTTATTGCCTCTCTCACCTGGAGGTTATAAATTCATTTTCTTATAAACCCATTCATGAGTTTTTTTAGCAAACCCAACCAAATAAAGCTGCAACCCAGGAAGGTCAGAGGGGCTTCCTGACCCTTCCTCCCAGGGAGGTGTTCCTTGAGCATGCAGATTGGCTCTTCCTCAGTAAAGGTCATGGCCCAGTACATTACCCGGGATGTCGTGCTTGTGTGTTAGAGATGACATGGCCGTCTTTCAGGAATCTTTCCTGTGAGAACAAGGAAATGTCTTCTGTGTAGGGCGGCACCAATGGGCCAGCTTTGTATGCTGCAGCCTCTTTGGAAATCATAAAGAAATGTGCATGTGTAACTTTTTAAGGGATTTCTGGGTTTTAAAATCCTTATATAATTAGAAACACTGTAGAAGAAGCAATTGGTAATTTCAGGAGTTCAAATGTAAAAGGTAAACATTTGAATGATGAATTACTTCTGGCTTTTGAAAAGACACAGATTCCATACTTAACAATGCACTGGCTTAATTTAACACTTTATGCATTAATTATTACTATCAATCATATTCTATCTAGTTTCATGGTATGCTTTTATGTGTTTCACCTTCCCTTAGATAAATGATTTGTGGTATACATATGTGTACACATACTTATGTAATTTTCATATAATAGTGGCAAATTATGTGAGGGAAACTTACTTTCTCAGCAATTCATTAATATATCTCATTTAGATATACGAAACTTCTCTAAATAGCAATGGCATGAAAACTGCATGAAGCCAAAATCACTTCACAAGACTGGGTGGAGACGCACTGTTAGGGCATCACAGGTGCGGCTTCTGTTTCTAAACGGAAACAGCTCATCCACTGTGCGGAAGCTGTCTGGAGTTACTTTTCTTCTCCAGTCCCCTGGACCACTTTTTGGCCACTTTATGAGTAATTAATTAAAGGCCTCACTGAAAGGTAGAGCAGAAGAAGTGGAATTCAAATGGTCTTCCTGCAGGCTCTTAATGCTCTGGTGGAACTCCTCCGTAGTGGAGGCTATTAGGTGGATATTTCTCTCAACAGGGAGAAAGAATGGACAAACTACAGTGACATTTTTATATAAATTTAGGTATTTACTTGTTAGTATAAATGACAATTTGATTTGTAATGATGGCAAGCAGCACATTCTGGGACCAACCTAATGTACCAGCTATCTAAGTACCAGGGTAGGGAATTCTTATGGTGCGTTTGACCATGAAAATGCATACATTTTCTAGTAGTTATCCCTAAATGCTGATTGATGAGGTGGTAAAAGAGGAGGATTGGATGTACTGTAACAGGAAGAGTCCAGCCACTCGAAAGATTATTGACCCTAAGTTTTTTAAATAAGTGACTGATAGGCAAGACAAGATGAGGAGTAGGAGGAGAAGAGAGGGGAGAGGGAAGAGGGAGAGACAAAGACAGAATATGCAGTTTGGGTCTTAAACATATTGCAACTTTAGAGATGGTGTGCGGCTTTATCAGATCTTCCACCTGAAAGGTCCCCCACATGCTGTTTTATCACCGAATAGAGTGCTCCTGACGTGAATGCCACTTCCTGCCCTATACCCCTGGGATTGCTTGTCGCTAGGCTTCATCCTGTCTTCACTTGAACGCAGCTATGCCACATATCTGGGTTTCTTTTCTTTAGTGTTCAATATGTGCCGATGTACTATTCTCTGTTGCACTGAGTTATAGGAATGAGATAAGAAGGTGTCAAGTGCTCCCACTGACAAAATCAGCCACAAGACCACTTCTTTGAAATTCTCCCTTCCAGTGAGCATGGTGGTGCTGTTTCTTTGATTGTCTTGGCTTCAAAAGAAATTAGACTGGGGCTCACATTTTATGTGTAAATGTTTGTGGTTGCTGGCTTGAGCCCGTAGACAGAGAAGGTGCTAAGACCGATAAATGAGGCATATGTATGGCTCTTTCCTTAGGTTATAATCACCAACAGATGAGTGAAGGACAAAGACAGAAATCTGAATTTTACAACCGCACAGCATCGGAATCAAACGTCTACTTGAATAGTTTTCATTACCTGGATCATAGCTACAAGGACCAGGCCTTTGATACTTTGAGCCTGGACAGCTCGGACAGCATGGAGACCAGCATTTCTGCCTGCTCTCCCGACAATATCTCTAGGTAAGGTCTATGTGTGGAAAAGCAAGGTCTGACTTCAAACTAAATCAGCCAGGTACAGAGGGCACATCTGTAATCCCAGCTAATCAGGAGGCTATGGCAGGAGGATTGCGAATTCAGGACCAGCCTGGGCAACACAGTAAGTTGCTGCCTCAGAAAAACAAACAATGGGCTGGGGAGATAGCTCAGTGGAATAAGTGCTTGCCTAGCAAGTACAACATCCTGAGTTCGATTCTTGGTACCACCAAAAAAAC